GGCGGCAGCCCGGCGCGGCAGCTCTCCGGGCCCTTTGTTCTCCCGCCCCGCCGCAGCCCCGTCCCGGGCCGCTCTCTCCCCCTGGGGGCACCGCGGCCGCGGGGGGGGCGGCCCGTCCCTCGAGCAACCCCGGGAGGCAGCGGTACACGCAGCCCTTTTGTCCGAGGCGGCCGAGGGAGGCCGGAGGAAAGAGGGTTTCTAATCCCAGCTCGCCTCTCTCGTGGCCTTGTGATGCTCAGCCTGGAAGATAGTCGCTCCTTAAGACAGGCTTTATCTCCCTCTTCCTAGAAACACCTCTTGAAATTTCAAGGTTGAGGCAGTGCTTTCTGTGTCTGTTACTCCGACGGCTTGGTGGGGGTGCCCTACTTTCAATGCTGCCAGGAGCCTCAGAAGCAGCGAGGGGTACTTTGCCTGCTCCAAGCTTCACCCCTTTTAATCCCGGTTGTGGTAAGGAGTTCAGGCATCTGCCTTCTCCAAGTGTCTTCTCCTTCCACTAGGGAGAAAGGCTCCGTCTCTGTTCCTGTCCCAAGTACCATTCAGAGGGCTCTGTCTCACTTTTGTCCCCTTCAAGGATGCGGGTACCACAAAGTCCTTTACATGCTCCTGCCAAACAACAAATAAGGCTGCACCCCTGCCTAGTCTAGTTAATCACAAGTTCCCTCTCCAGGCAGCAGAAGGTTAAAACACCCCCTTGACTCTTATTACAGAAGGAAAGGGGTGTATGTTCTGAGCCACTGAATATAGAGAGCTGATGCATGCACCAAATGTGTCTCTTGTTTCATCATTCTTTCAGAATCAGGATTAGTTTGCTTTCTTTTTGGGTAATTTAACATGTCAAACACAAGCTACTAAGAACAAAAGTTCCCCCAAAGGAAATTCCTCTTTCCCATCATCTTCATGTGCCATAGACTCAGTGACCTACTAACTGCTAAGCACGTGCTTTGCCCTGAATCCCGATGTGGGGCGAACTGGTGATCTGAGCATGAAACAGTGCTCCCAAGCTTTCTTCTTCAAATAGTGTTTGTTATAAAGATAACAGCACATCCTGCTTTACACTCGTGTTGCTGTTTTTAGAGACGGTATTATGCATTATTCTGCAGAGGATATTTTGGTCACCAATATCAAAATATAATGTTATAGTCTTAGTTTCTAGTGATGCTCTCCGTGGACATCACCATCTTGTGGCCAAGTGGACGTTTGTATTGTGGTGCTAATAGAGGAGGCTGTAAGAGCTGGCCACTGGTGAGACCAGCTGAAGGACGGGAGGGCAATGACCTGGATGTGGGGACTAGGGGAAAGGCCCAAGGGCCTTGGAAATGTTCTAGGGTCAAAAAAGAGACTTGGCACCACTTCAGAATTTCTTTTATCACAAAATAGGAATGAAACATCAGTGAATTTAAGACTCCTTTATTCGACTGGAGTTTTACCAATTGTATTTCTGAACTTCCAGCAGGAGCCCTAGATACTGCAATTGAATGGAAATCTTACGTACGGATAGTTCAACAATTCCTTTGGGAGATACACAGGGACACCATGAAGGAACAGGGAAGAAGTGCCTGAAAAACAGAGGGTTGCGTGAGGAGCATGTACAGTGTTAGTCTTACTCCATGATGCCTTTTGCAGAAACTCCTCAGCTCTTAAAATCTCCACATGCTTACACCCTTGGCCTGTTCTGAATCTCTGTGCCTGCAACGCCCATAGACATTTCAGATTCTGTGAGAGATGCATATAACGTTAGACCTAATATAATAGACTTTTGGCGATGGTGCCAAGCACCACAACCAAATATGAGATGAGAATTGGCACTAACTAGGAATATTTATGTCATATCAGGTGATGCCCGGGGGTACCCAAACCACTTGCGCAAGACAGTGAACAGCAGACACCCTCGTGCACTTTCAAAATCTGTTCTATAACTTTCTTCATAGAAAAGGACAATAGTTAGCCAGTCTCAAATGGTACATATTTACTGTAATACTGTAATTTTAGTATTTTTTTTATTTAGTAGATGAGGAGGTAAAATTATGAGAAATTCGAAGAGTAAATTGTTCATTGTCCTGTCAGGGCTTGATGAAAAGCTGATACCCTCATTCCATTCTGGGAGGGTTTAGAATCACTTTTATTTCCTTGGATCCTGAATGTATCTCATTCTCTACGGAACAGGTTAAAATCCAACTACTTGCAGCCCTAGGGTTTGTTTTGTTGCATATTAACATGAACAGCCCTCAGTCCTTCAGACAGCTATTTTGATGCATTTCCTCCTAAGTTTTGCCTTGTTATTTCTGGGAGAATTTGAAAACATTTAAGATAACACACAGAGGTCTTTTCCACTACTAATATCTAAAATTCTGTAAGTACATTTTAAAACCAAGTACTGCTTGGTTTTGCATTTCCATAATAGAATTTGCTATGAGCAATATCGTTTCAGTTATTCATCCCAGTATTCTTCACAGCAGGAATTGTAGCTATGAAGGAGGCTGGAGCACATGGGATGACCCCAGTTTGGCAACTAGATCTCAGTTCTTAAACCAGAAAAAAGATTTTGCTACATTCCATCCAGCTCCATTAATACCGCATTTTTACTATCTCCTTTTATGCGTCTTATACCTTTTAAATTCAGGTGCTTCCAGTCTTTCCACGCCACAGGAAAACAAGCAGAAAGGCTTCTTACTGCTAGAATTTGGCACAAGATACTTAGGTCTGGAAAGGATTTATACAAACGTACACACATGCATGCACACATACATACACATTTATATATACAGTACAATTTTTTTAAGCTGTTTTTTAAGTTATAGGAGTACAGAAACACACAGAAAAGTTTGAGGCTTCGGACACTTTCTACATATCTATTAAACAAACATGCTTTTGGTCTTAAAGCTGAATTTTTGCAGGCCTTGCTCTATACTGTGCCGTATCTTTGTAGAAGTTTTTGAAAAGCTGAAGTTTGCAAAGCAGCTACTGTACATGCTGCAGAACTGCTGTTTATAGAATCTGTATGCATTTTTACTTATGAGTATGTGCATTTTATGTGTATTTTTTAAAACTGTTTTTAATGCATGCATTTCGGAATTTGTATGTTTTCAATAGGGCTGAAAACCTCTGATGGATAGCATGAATTTAAAGTAAGACTATAAAGACATGTCTATGAGATGTACTCAGTTGTAATGAGCCAGCAATAATGGACAATTGAAAACAAATCTGTTTATGTGTTTAAGAAATTCACCAATAATTCACATTTTAAAATACAATTTTTTTCTCATTTTTTGCATGCAACATAGAACAGAGATAGTAGTGATTTTTCATTACTTTTAACATAAAACTTATAGGAAATTAAAAGGGAGTTGTAGATATCGGAACAGAAAAAGTAAATTAATGACAGTTTGTCAGAGCTAATTTTCAGTTATATCCCTGATTTTTTTAGTGGATTTAAGCTCAGTCCTTAATGTTATTTTTAGTGTTTTTCTATGGTTTACTGTATGCACAAATAAATGAAAAACAACTTCTGGTCTATGAGATTATTTTGCTTGGCATTCAACATTTAATACTACTTGATAATTATTATAATGTTCCTTGCTCATAGACCTCCTTTTACAGGCTTTACAGTTGATTTATGCAAATGTATCAGTGTCATTCAGCGATTTCAAAAGGATATACAGAATTGATCATTCAAAGTAGTATTTGCAAATACTTTTTTAAAAAAAGGAAATATAAACAGAAATAATTAAAAATAACTTTTTCATTTGGCATGCCAGTGATACATTGTATCAACACCTTTATTTCTTTAGCTAGTCAAATTATAGTCATAATTTGCTGTCTGGTACCCACAAACTTTATTTCTTTTATAGTGTTTCATTTAATGGTCTCTCTTGTACTCTACAGGGTTTAGTTTGATGGAGGAAATAATTATAATTTTAACTGGTCTGTTCCATCGAGATTTAAGCAGACTGTATTGTACAGCTTTCTTTGTACGTTACAGTGCAATTTATAGTGATACAAAGTACATTAAAACACTTTACAGAGTTGAGGACAGCTACTGTCCTGCAAGCAGAAAGTGGAGGAAAGGCAGTGTGGAGACGGAGGGAAGAAAAAAGGAAAGAGACCTGACATTTTAAAAGCCATAAAGAGGCAGGTGAGGGTCCTTGCAGGCTGGTTATTGTAAGGGAAAAACACAAGATGCAGAAATGGAGGGGAAGGCAAGTAGGATTTGTACCAGTACAATACATGCCATGGTATGTTATTTTAATTGCTGCACTCAGATGAACTGCAAACAATGTTGGTCAGAGCACAATAGATTTACACGCCTTTTCCTCTCGTTGCCTTAAGCTTTAAGTTGCAATGAAAATGATGGTGACCACCTGGATAGAGACCAGCAATATCCCAGCAATCAAAAAACAAAGCGTATGAGGACATCATTCAAACACCACCAGTTGCGGACAATGAAGTCATACTTTGCTATTAACCACAATCCTGATGCCAAGGACTTGAAACAGCTAGCTCAGAAAACCGGCCTGACCAAAAGAGTTCTTCAGGTAAGAAGAGCAGTCTTTTGTCTTGAAAAGTAAATAGAATATCAATTTTATATTTGAAGTGCCATGGATTTTGCTGATTTTCAAGCTTTTCTTAATCGTTCACACCTTCTGTGAGACTTCAGTTAAATCCTAGAAAGTAGAGAAAAGTTATTTCTTTCCTGCTTCCCAAAAGTAGATCACTTGGGTTCTAATTTTTAATGACAGTTGTGAAGGTTTGAGGCCCTGTTTGTTTTCCTGTAGTGAGTTAATTCTGGTGCATGCTTTAGCTTCCAATCTGCTGTAAGAAAAAGTGAATTATTTTAGTTAGTGTGTTCACTGTAAATAGAGAGCTCTTAATTTAGAAATTACTGTGAATGTTTACCTTTATAAAAAATTAATCAGCAGTTTGAATTTATTTTATCAGGACAAGGAGGATATATTTTCTTTCAAAACTGAAGTGGACATAAATTTCATTTTTCAAAGATTAATTTTTTATTCATAGTTCAGTAACTTAGAATGAAAGGAGACTGCATTTTAAAAGTACTTTTTCTCTGAAAGCTGGATTTTTCTTGCTTCAAGGAGATACACTCCGTTTGAACTATTATGGGAAGCAAAGGTGAGAATATTAGTTGATTCAGCTCCATTTTAATTTATAGTTCTGATTCAAGAAGTCAATTTTAATGGGTACTTATCCAATTAACTATACCTAGAGATAAATTTGGGCATATAGGAGCCATGGCATTCCAGGATCTATTGCTGAAATTTTGAAATGGGTCTTAATTGTAGAAAAATGGTTTGTGAGCTTCATAGAGACAGGTACGGCTCAGAGACAGACTCCTGGGAAAGCATCATGGACAGCTCTCGCAAATTCATAGGCAAGTGGAGGGCAGTAGACAAAAATATTGAGAAAAACTGAATTCACTGGAGAGATTCTGGACCTTACAGTATTAATACCTAACAGAAGAACGAATGAAGGTTTTGCAGGCTTCCCAGTAAAAACTACTAATGAAAAACCATATGTAATTACTTCTCTTGGCTATGTCCTCCATGGTTGGATTTTTTTTGTTTTTATGAGGTCGATTTGCAGTGGTGGAACAGATTCCTCCGATATAACTAGTGCACATCCTAACACTTGATGTAGTCTCTCCCATTGCAGCTCTCCTTTATCCATGCACATGGGCGAAATCACTTACTGCATTTGTCTATCCTTATTTTGACACTTTTCCTTTATTTTACCCTCAGAGTTTAGACACTTCGGTAATATCTATTCTCTCCACTACAGTGCACTCACACCTGAATTATCTGAGAAATGTCACATAGTGCATTAAGAAATGAGATCAGTGTCTAGAAAGTGTCTTTCTCTTGATCATCTTTCTGTTCTCTCTCCTCACTCCACACCAACTTTGACTTCCATCTCTCTCTTCTCTTTTCACCTAATGGGTCTTTCCTTCCATCTTTTTTCCAAGTTATTGTCTCTGTTTCTTCCTTCCTTTTCAGAATGTATTTCCTTGTCTCCAAAACTGGACTCTCTGTCTCCACTACACCTCATTCCCTTTTTCAGTTTCTTCATTGCTTCTGTTTCCGTCTTAAACCTACCGCATCTTGCAGTTTTAAGGTGCTTAATGGTCCCTCTTTTTTGCAGCAGTCCCTTACGATTCCACTAAACTTTTTTCATCGTTTTGGTAACTCTGTTAAAGTTCTTTTACTTTCACAGTTAAATACTCCTTTATGTCTGGGATTCTTTAGCCAAAGAGTGGTGGAAGGTAATAGTTGGTGGTGAGGATTGCACCCAGAGGATGATGCTGTTGGAGGCACTTCAAGAAAATGACTTGGAGTGATACTTTGTCTAGTATCACTTGAGCTTTCCTGTCTGTTACGAGCACTCTCTACTCCACACTCTTTTGAACTTTTTGTTTGAAAATTAATTTGGGCCATGAAAAAACAAACTTGTTTTTTTTTATTTTAGAAGCTTTGTGCCCAATTGGTTCCTCTCTAACCTGTGAGAGGCAATTTTTCAAACACTGAAGTTCACCTATGTGAGTTTCAGGGTTGCTCTTTGCGGGGGAAAACTCTTCATGATGTTGGTTACTGAGATAGTGTCACTTGTTAATTCTTTTCAGCCAGAAAGGTTGGCATTCCATCTGTGTCATTTATTGAACACGAAGTAATTCAGTGACACTATTGACCTAAACAAGCATCATTGGTATTAGTCTGTCTTACGTACCAAAGGCGCATGGACTCCCAGACATACATGCACACTTGCCAGTAGTAAGAAATCTTCCACATTCCCTATGTTGTTATTAGGCGTGTTTGTAAGCTGTTGCATTTTCTGTATGTTCAGATCTCAGTTCAGTTGACGAAGGATTGTGGCTCTTTGTATATCATCAATAGAATATATTTTAATAGAAAATACAAGGCAGCAGATCAGGAGAAACAGATTCTCTTGTTCTGAAACCAGTGTACTTCCTAAACACAGGTAGTAGAGTTCCTAGTGATTTAGGAAACAGCTACAGTGCCCTTACTATATAGACAGTCCCACATAACATGTAATGAGGGTGCTTTGTTTGTAGATGAACTGAGAATTTGGCTATACTCTTAGTGACCTGTGATATCGGATTTGGAAGACCTGACTTCTGTCTTTGCTTTATATACAATTAGTCATCAGCTACACATGTCCAGAAGTGGAATGGCATGGAAATGTAGCATACTGCTTCATAAATTACATTTCCTTCAGTGGCTTTGTAATGCAGACTGTTTTCCGTAAGTAGACACATTAGAATCTAATGTAATCTGATGTAAACCTATTTATATTTTTAACCCCTATTTTTATTTATTTTCATTCCAATTTAGCTTTATATTTGCAATTTAATTCATATACTTCTTGTACTGCAGCTGGGGAACACAAGCCCATTATTGTAAGCTATCATTCATAATTAAAGTGACCAGCTAATTGTGAGCTAACTAACTGGCATAAATATTCCTCTTTTGGGAATTGGTCTTTCTTTTTGTGAGTTTAGAAGGGGAAGGTGGAAGTAGATAGCCCTAAGAAGATATGGTTTGCTAGCTGTAGGTATGTACATCTTCTCTTCCCAGGAGTCTGGAATATGATTATCCAGGGCAAAAGCAGTTTAGGAACATAAAGCATTATTTTTCAGTGGGTGTCTTGTACACTGCTTATTCTTTCTTGAATCACTGCCCAGTAAAGTTGCTATGAAAACCCTACACAGATTACTGAATGCATTTGGACTTTGCCAATTCAGTTTCCAGTAGTCAACAAGCATCAAAATTTTCAGTCATGCATGGGTACCCTGCACTACCTTTCAGTAAAGATTTGCTTTAGGATAGCATACTGCAGACTCTTTACCAAGCCTCCATTCATAAAATATCCCATAGTTCCCCTTTAACTGTGTGTTTAGTAATTACAACAGAGTAATCAGAATGTGTGTACAATGAGTGAACGTAGTTTGCTTTGTGGTGCAACATCCTTTATATTTTTGTTTCTCCACTTACTAGTTAGTAAAATTCAGTAAACCTAAACATCTCCAGGTAGCTGTGTGAATGAGCAAAATTGTGTTTAAAAATTCGTTTCTAGCACAATCTATTCATACAATTAATTTGTAACAGTTGCAACAATGGAGGTGTTACAAACAAGAAAATAAAGTTATCTTATCTAAGGTGATTAGATGATCTCATTCACTGCAGTATCCGAATCCTTTACAATATTTAGCGTATTTATTTTCAGTACTTCCCAATCATATGGAGATGTTATTTCATTCCTATTTTACTTGATGGAGACAAAGCTGCACAGATCACTGAAGAGATAGCATAATATTTTAACCACAGTAAAAATTATTCTGCCTATCTGCTGAGTTGTCCAGCTACAGGCATCCAGCCCCGCTAACCAGAATGTGGTAGCATCAATGGTGGGTCTTGCAGCTGCTTTTATTTTTCAGTGGGAGTTTTGGTCCATATTTTCCCCTTTGATTTGAAATACCTCAGCCTTATAATGATACAGTTGGACAGAAAACCACTAAATACTTCCCAATGATTTTGTTTATTCCTTAGTACTGAAGACCAGATTCCTAATTGTGTAGTTGATGTGAGATAAGTCCTTCTGGAACAATTCTTTCAGTTATGTATGTTTGGGTTATTATTTCTTTACTTTCCTGTAATACCATTACAGGTGCAGGGCCTGAATTGCCAATGCGAGCGTGCAGCGCTACTGCCATTATGCATGGGCAACCCTGACTTGCCAGCTCTTACACGCTACTTTGCACAGCTATAAGTAACAGCACGGGGCAGTAGAGAAGCAGGCCTGCATTCCTAGAACTCAGAAAACAATAGTTTTAATTATTTCACTACTCTTCAACATGAAGTCTTTGCTGAATACTTTTGTATCTTAAGTGCATACCAGAATATCACTATTGTGATAATTATTTTATGTTATCCTTTTCTATCATGAGACAAGGTATTTTCAGAATTTCAGCTAACAAATATTTAGATGCCTTTTCAGTAATAACATGAATATTTATTATAGGACAATTTTGAAGAGCTTTATAACCATTAGCTGATTAACATTGACACGATCTCAGTGAGGAAGAAAGTGAAAGTAGTCATATTATCTCTGTTTTTGAATAATACTTACAAGGTTATGGAATATTTTCTATATCTAACATGAATTACCACTATTAAAGAGAGAATGAACCATCTTATATGTGCGGCTCCTGAAAGCAGCATTAATAGTCATCGGTAAGGGCATCTGAGCACAGGTTTTCATATTTAATGGCAGATAAAGGGGAACACATAAGCACTAATAATCTTGCTCACTTTTCTTTACATACTACATGTTTCAAATCGCAAACAGAAGCAATACCGTAGAGTCTCTCACCCTACTAATGTTAAGGAGCAGTTGGACTTTTAGCAACAATGTAAATGAACAAAATAGTTATGGTGCCTTCTACAGTTTTACACGCTTTAAGCAAGAAAATTGTTTTGTGAATAGGAACGGAAATGTTACTTATATTTGGGACTACTGCATATATAAATATGTATATTTTTAATAAACATAAGTGTGAAATTATGCAGAAGTATGTGTATATGCAACTGGACTAGTGGTTTTGTTTTAATTATTACGTAACCATGGTACACATACATATCAACAGTGGCGGTCTCTAAACTTCCATTTCACCTTCGTATGTATTATCGTTTTTACAATTGCTAGAAAGTATATTAAAAAAATCAAAACCAAATTACTTTGTGGGACAAATATAAATTATCTCTTACTGAAAGGTAAAATATCCCATAATTGTTCAAATTGCTGTTTTCTACCATTCCTAACTAGTTGGTGCTTGAGACTTTGCGGCTTGAATGAACAAACTGATTTGCTTCACTTGCGTCCCCTGCACATGAGGCTCCTTGCCTCACTCAGAACCACGCGCACACACTTCTGTGCCTCCCATCTTGCATGGAGAGGACACTGGTTGTGAATGTATCAGGCAAAAATATCACATTTGGTTTTGCCTGTTTTTGACCACATCGCTGTCCTTTAACAGGTTTATCACTATAATGGACTATGTTATAAAATCACGAGTATATTTTTGCCAGTGCTAGTTTAGGAGATTTTTGTTTTCTTGTCATACATGAAACTGATATATAGCCTTTAAACTAAGTGTTTTAACAAAGGGAATGCCAACATAAACTGTTTTAAAATACTAAGCTTTCAGAAACAAGGACCTGTAGGGATGCGATTTATGCATGGCCCATGAATGCAGCTCCTATGGCCACTGCTAGAATTTGTGCCTGAGGATTATTTCCTTGTGGCACTCCCTGGAGAGAGTGCAAGAGAGAGGGTGCACACCTTAAAGACCCTTGGTTGGGGAAGAAAGCTTTCCAGAAAAAAAGGAAGAGTGCTCAATAGGGGGAATTGGGGTCTGGACCATCCATAGATGAGAAGAAAAGCAGTCAGAGGAAAAACAGCTGAGACATGTTCATCAGTTCTAACTGCGGCTGGCAAGCTGAGAGTGCAAAGACAGCACCTTACAGGACTGCTTGTATTTACGAATCACTCCTCTGTTAGCGGTCTGGCTTAAAGTGGATCCTATGGCAGGGGCCATGCTGTTTCAGAGGTAGAGGTCTGAATTTCTGCACAGGTTGGTGTGGCCTCGTGAGCTCCACACACTCAGTTTCCCTGTACAAGCCACAGAGGAGAAATCTGATGGAGATACTGTATGGCTATGCAGATCCTTTCACTTGCTCAGTTCCTTTCTCCGACAGATACAGAGATGATGAGGCTCATTGCATCTGGAATGGAAAGACTGGGTCCTATTCCTTACAGCAGGTCAACATGAGGACAGGAGGATCAGGATTGAGTCCATTGTAAAGAATGTAACAATGACAGAAGGCCTTCTGATAAATAAACACAGTGAAATTTCAGCTAGTTTGTAGCAGTAAAATTACCTGGTATGAAGATATATCAGGTTGAACACAAGGTATTTAACGACATTTTCAGATTTAGTTGATGTAATATGCTGTACCTAGGTTTCACGCAAGTTTCACAAACACATTTTATTTTATCTATTTTCAAATAGGTCAGAAAAATATTTTATCTTTAAACAAATCCTGGAGACAGTGGAGAGCATTAACTTGGACCTAAACACTGAAATTTAACTGAGAAAGATGAAGTCATAGCTTTTGTCCTTCACTCATAGATAATAAATAATGCAAGAAGTAGCAATCTTGGAAAAATTTCTGAATGTGGATATAATTTCTACTGAAATGACAGTTTTTAATGCAATGTGGGTCTTTCATACCATTCAAGCCTCTTTTCCCAACATCATTCCAGTACTGAAAACATTTGAAAAAGGAGACTGGCATAAGCGAAGGGAGCTGAAGCATTTGAGAAAGAAGAGTAAGAGAAGAGTAAGAAAGAGGGACAGTCCTTTTAGAAAAGTGAGAGCACTGCTGACACTGGGACATGGGAAAGTTCCTGGGAGAGCTCTCAGGGCCCGCAGAAAGGCAGGGTGCTGTGGTCTGTGTCACTTGCTGCTTACAATGGGAGATGGACTTGAGATACGAGGGTGCCGAAACTCATTATTTTATATTCGTCAGATGCTTGATGTCTGCCTCATCCAGACAAATACTTCTGGGATTGAGGGCAATTGAGGATTCATGCAGGCTGCCAAATTTCTAAGCATCTTTATACATAGCCTGCACAGAAAGACTCCCCTCCTCCATCCTTGGTCCACTCCTGTCTCAGGCAGACTGTTCATACAGGATTGCAGGAGGGGGAAAGAGGAATGCTTTACAGGTGTGCAGAGGACACTTGTCATGACTGGGGCTTCTTTTCTAACATGTTACCAGTAAAGACATCTTCCATAATTCAAGCATTGGTGAATTTGTGAGTATGCTTTTGCTTTTTTAAACAATGCAGCTCTTTAAATGCTACCCTGTTATATTAAACTATTTCAGGTTTGGTTTCAAAATGCTCGAGCCAAATTCAGACGGAACCTCTTACGTCAAGAAAACACAGGGGTGGATAAGACTTCAGACTCAACACTCCAAGCAGGGACCCCATCAGGTCCTGCCTCAGAAATATCCAATGCCTCCATGAGTCCATCCAGCACTCCCACTACTTTAACGGACTTGACTAATCCTACTATGCCTACTGTGACATCTGTCTTGACGTCAGTGCCCGGAAGTCTTGAGGTTCATGAATCTCGAAGTCCTTCACAGACAACTCTTACAAATCTTTTCTGATGACTCTTTCTTAATAATTTCTTTAAAAAAGAAATTATTCTTAGTTGAAATTCCAAGTGTATTTTAATAGAGGCTTTGAGCAACTGACTAACCACAATTAGGATCTCTCCTAAAAAACAGAAGGAAATGTAGTGTTCTGGTATTACAGAGTATGGACTGAAGAATAACTTGGAAGATCTATTGCAACACAACATTTGTGTAACTGTACAGTTTTGTGGACTGAGCAAGGGAAACAGCAATTAATTTAAGTTGGCTAAAGCTTCTGTATTTTCAAAGACTGCCATGTGCCTTATATACTGTTTTATCTACATTCTTTGGATTTCATGTCCACTTCTCTCTTTTTCTCTCTGTATATTTATGACCAGGGCAAAAATGTTAAGAGTTTGTTACTTTGAATAGTCCTAAGCCTTTCATTGGTTGCTTTGTTGTTTTAGAATTTTAAGGTCGAAGTCTGTTCGAATACCAGAATTTGAAAAATCTAACCAGTAATAAAACCACTTATGGAAACTACTTGGTAATGGCTGCAGTTACATTTAACATTAGTGTCACAATCAAGGTAGGCTGATTGTATTTAAAAGGATTAGAAAACTGCACTTCAAACACAGTATCTGCCTAGGATAAACTCTAAATATGATGTATACATTCCTCCTGTTCCTGAAGTGTATATGGGTGAGAAATCCAGCTTGTACAACAGTCTAGGTATCTTCATTATAGAGAAATAAATAACTGTTAGTTGCAGGTAGAAATTATCAGATAATGTTAAAATTCAAACAGACAAACTATACTTCATTTGGCTGCGTGAAAGAAACTTGACTTCAGCTAGCATTTATGAAAACAATCTTGCTTTTGTGCAAGAGATGGCTTGTCCCATTCATGGAGGAGGCAAGCGGGTGTCTGACTGCGTGGCCACAATCAGTCCGTTACAGAGGTAGGCACTGGGTAATATTTTCCCTAGGAGAAAGACAGAAGTATTTCAGGTTACTTTACAACACTGGTGGGCAAAGTCAAGGCAAAATTATGTTTTATAAAGTCACAGCTTTACATTTTTTGTAATGCTTTGAAGGAATAAAAAGCCAAGGAAGAATATGATATTATCGATACTAATAAAAGTGGTTATTCCTTTAATGATTGCGGACCTTTCAATACAATTTAATTCCTTCTCCTCAAAAAATCTGTGCAGAATATAACTCGTATTTTGAGGTTTTTTCCTATTGCTTTTAAAGATGCTTTTCTGTAATTAAAGAAATACCTCAGCAAAGTTTAAATATGTATAAGAACAAGTATACACTATGCTGTTTGCCCAGTAGTTTTATAGATTTGGAGTGGTACATAAGATGCATATGGTTGTTCCTTTTCAAACCTGTTACAATCAGTTTATTTCAGTCAAATGTTAGGTTGTACGTGGCTAGCTCTCCAAAACTAATCCATCATTCCCATTGGATCAAAATTGCTAAAAGATTATTCCAAATAAACAGCAAGATAGGTGCCAAGATTCATGTTCTTTGCCCTTTTCAGTGCATTGAAGATGATTTAGTAGGCCAGACTCTTTGGTAAGATTGTTTTGGTTTTAAAAGCGCTACATTTATTCAGCTTTCTCAGCTGAAAATTTGCCATTCTTGTGCAAGCCAAATTCCTACAGAGATCAGTGAGAGATCTCAGAGCATGAGGACTGTGGGACAGAAATGCTGACATAATTAGGTCATTTATTAACTTTTTTTACACTTCAGCTTAAAAAAACCCACAGGTGAGTTATCTGAAAAGCAAGATAGTCTCAGAAAATCATAACTAGCTAAGATCTGTGAAAGGGATTACGTTCTGGTCACTAAAACCAATAGGCTAGCATAGTTCATTAAGTTTACATACAATGATGAAACATTAAAAAAGAATTTGGGTTGAATTAATAACTGTTACAGGTTTGTCCAAGCAATTTTCCTATAATACAAATGTCTAATAAGGAAATTGTGCTGGTTAGTGGACTGTAAAAGAGTACATATCTGCCTTTCAAAGATATTCAGACACAGAGATTCTGCTGTATGTAATGTTTTGTTCATTGTCAATTACCGTGGAGATTTTTTTTTTTTTACATGCTTAGCTGGATCTTTTTTTAATTTAAAAGGCAATGTTGGTCCACTGTTAAATGGATACAGCCCGTAATTAGAAACCCTGTGTATTAACCTGTAAACAGTTTTAAAAAACTGAATCCTGAATTCTTAAGTGTTATGGCAAATGTAGTGGATAACAATTCAAATGGTTCTTTAAAATTGCAGTGCTATTATTTGCGATCTTGTATTTTAACTACCTGAATCCACATGGATGGAAATACCTTTCAAATCAATTCTCAATATTGCCTTTTCAAATAACTGACATTTATGAAGGGGAATACTCTTGTGTTAATCTTATCTAAAACCTATAAAAGACAATTAGAGAAATTGTCTGGTTTAATCAAATCAGGGATTTTGCATATAAATAAGAGACAATATTCTATGTAGGGTCTTTATGTAGGTGCATTAGGATTCACTCATTGGCTCCAATGACCTATGTTGTCCCCATGATTGTTTCAATCCTGTGGTATTGTTTGGTTGTTTAGAGCTTGTTGGTTTTGAATGCTATACATTTTTTTACTACTGCAATCCTAATGTTTCTTCACATACTTGTACAGTTCCACATTTGATGTATTAGTCTGAAATTCTGTTAAAAACATGAACAAAAATGGAAATGATATTTCTTTGGAAGTGTATTTTTACTGTATATCTAATTTGAACTAGTTGAACATACTTCTTTACATTTTGCATGATAGGTGTGTAGTTAATTTTTTAAATATGAAAGAGACTTAAGAGTAACTTAGAATGAGAATATAATGAAACCTATACAAATATGGAAAATACATACAATGATTTGCTACTTTTTGCCTCAAGAAACTTTTTGAAATACATTTTACCTAGTTTATTTAAGATAATGCAGATATTTTGTCTTTGAGTTCATACATAATACAGAATATAAAAGGGGATTACACATTAGAAAAACTTTCAAGTCACCTTGGTACTCGACAGCACACTGGATTGTTCTTGTCAAGCAAAGAGAAAGAATATTTGATCTTAAGAACGCTGAATAAATATATTTCAATCTACAGTAGAGAGGGATAGCATTACTGTGAATGATATGTAATCACAACTTAAAATTTATTGACAATATTAATAGCTACATTTCATAAAACTTATTTTTCATTCAAATTATCTAAGTTTGGGAAGAGAAGACTAAGGATCATTATACTAACGAAGAAGCTGAATGCCTGCCCTGGAAGCAAAAGTCAATTTATCAAATATAATATGAATGGAGAAAGTGCCTCCAGGACATTTTGGTTTCCAAACTATCTTTTCTTCCTAGCTGTTAAAAAAAACGTATTTAGAGCACTTTCCTATAACCGTTTGTTATTTTTTGTCTGTTGGAAGGTAAAGACTAAAGCTTAGGCACCCGTAGTAATAATCTTCATCTAAAGGAAAAGGAGAAAAAAAGCCAAAATCAAAATAATAATCAGGCTTCATACTTAGGCATGATGATAGCAAAGACATCAAGGTGACTAAAAGAAGTTCCATGTGTACATGCTTATGGTCTTCACAATGACTTAATAAGGCTTGGAAAGAGAGATTTTAATTGAAAGTAGGTGAATTATGGTTTGTTTTTTTTTTTTTACTTCAGAAAGCCAGGACTAATTGCGTAACTCTGTCGCTGGTTTTTAAAATGAAATTTGATAGAAGTTACCATCAGAAAGGGTCATAACATCAAATACAGTGTGAAGAGATAAGCCTAGACATTTTAAGAAGGACTTTTTTCCCCTTTTCTTTCCATCTTTTTAACCCTGGTTCTTCTCCAGGACGCATCATGAACTGCTGGCAATGGGCTCCGTTTACTTTAATGAAGGGTAGATCATCTTCCTGTCACACAGTTCATATCCTCCTGCTTATCTGCATTCTTCATACTGACACTGGCAAACACTTCTCATTTACCTTACACCGTTTGACTGTTCACAGCTTCTGCAATGCGAATCCTCCAACCAGCTGAGTGCTTCAGTGGAGTTTTTTCCTACCTCTGCAGGAATTTATCCCTTCTGAATAAGAAGGATTTAAACCATTCCTGGTAGCAATTAGTTTATCTGTAGCTAAAATAATTACCTGCAAAATGAATGGCCTATGCATTTCCAAGATCACTTTGTCCTGCGTTTGAAAAGGCTACAGGTGAAATATATGTGCAACACATCCAGTTCACATTAGTAGCCAGGGTTTGGATGGGTGTGAAATGCTTGTGCATCCACGCTTTGGTGCATACAATTATGCAGTTGCCAGGTCCCTGCATTTCTGCTTTCCAAGGTTATAATATTACACCTCCCTTTCCAGACCTTCAAGTCCTTTTTGTCTTGTCCTGTGAGTGAGTTGATTAGAACTCTGCCTAATCCCATACTTCAGATAACTTTGTCTGAGTCTGCAGTTATCTTTGCTTAAAAAACTAAGTATACCAAACCACAAACGTCGTTCGCACCCTCCCATACATTGCATTTAAGGCTGGTCAGAGTCTCTGGTACGATATGTCACTACCCATGTAGGCAGCAGGGGCTATATGGATCGTGGTCTGTTCTCATTCTAATTAAAGAGAAGCAAAGGACTAAATATCAGATTCTTGATCTACAGTTAATAAAAACATGTTTTAAGGGTATCTTAGGACTGGCAAATCACTTTAAAGGGAATAAAGAGGGCATATTTTTGACACACAGGAAGCTGGCATGGTTATGAAGGTGAGCAGCAAAGCAGCTGGACTCTGAGCGCTCGTGTTTTCACTTCTGTAAGTGGAGAGACCGTCTTTAATTCATTGTAGGCTTTAGCTGGGATGCCTAAAATGATGTGGAAAGTGAAGAATCAAGTTTGACTCTGTCATAACATTAGGTGAGTTATCAGTAATTTGTCTGAAAAGTCAATGGGGGAAAGATGGCTGCACCGAATAGCAGAGTG